GAACTTTATAATGATTTAATATCAAATTACCAGATATTAAAATCAATTTGTCATTTTTCAAAAGTTTTGCTATAAATTTAAGCATAACAGATCTAAATGATGAATTAAATTCAATAAGATAAGGTGCCACTGATCCTCACAAAGACAAACATGATTGCAAATATGGATTTTGCGTAATTGTGGTCTTTGGAAAATTTGGAGGCGAAGATTTAGTATTGAGTGAAATTGGTATCATAATAGAAGTAAAGTGTGGATTTATAATTTTAATATGTTCTGCACTTTTAGAGCATTTTAATTTAAAGATTTAAAAAATAGTTTTTCTATAGTGTATTATTTAAAGACATTATTTTATAATGAAATTTAAATTTTTTACCATTAAATAAAAGATTTTAGCCATTTTTTTTTTAAAATTATAAAAAATTGACAAAACAAAATCTTAGGCTAAATTTATTATAAACCAAAATTTTTTTTTTTATCAATTACAAATCAAAAATCAAAAATTTTGATTATACGCCAATTTTTTTAAAAATATTCAAATAAATTTTAATTGTTTAATATTTTACTATTATTCATCTAGTGATTGTCTTAAAATTTTCACTTCATTTGTAATCGATAAAAAAAACATAATATTTTAATATTATAATAATAAAAGTAATAATTATAATATAAAAAATAATATGTATATAAAATAATTACTCTGTACACTTTTTTATTTTTAAAAAAAATAAATATTATATCTTTTCATATATATTAACATTATATTTTTGATACAAAACTTTCATCTGAATTATCATTAAATATTAAAAGAATTGCAAAATCAATTACAATTATGTTAGATTGCAAATTCTAGACTAATTCTTTCTTCTATTACTTCAACTTATTTACCTATTAATCCTTGGATACCAAGTGCAAAATTTTTTAATCTTCAAACTAAATTCAATTTAAATATCTTAAATCAATTCATTTGTGCTGCATATGCATTTTGTGAATATTTAAGTTATCCTAAAAAATGTATGGCTAAATTATAATAAAACTTTATTTTATCCTCCTTTACAAGCATATCCTAAAAAACAACCTGAATTACTATTAACATTTCATGTTAAACCTCCAAAATGTATTGCTATATGTTTATCATGTAAAAATCCTACAAAAAGATATATATTTCCATTTCTTTATCCTATTCCAAATGAAATTCAAGCGGTACCTTTAGAAAAAGAATATATTTATCTCTTGCATTTATGCATTGTTCTTTAGGTAGAAATTCTAACTATAGTATAATGTATTCAGAATACAAAACATTAACTGATACAATGAATTTCTCAAAAAATATGCGTTCATTAATATTATATTCTGGAATGGTTAGTGCTTATCTTGAAGATAATAATCCAATGGTAGATACTTCTTGGCTTAATGATACGTTAATCACATCAGCTGATTGGCTAAAATTATATAATCCTTTCTTAGAAAATTATTCACGTCTTTTAAATTTTCCTAGTTCTAATACTGCAAATCCATTTTTCAGTCTTTTTCATTTACCTGATAATACATCTGCACCACTATTTTTACCTAATGATATTATAGTATCTAATATTAATTTTAACGTTGAAATTCACAATGAAGATTATCATTATTCACACTTAATGGCAGGATTTATTAGAACACCTGATAATACATTATTATCTTTAAGTATAAATGATCCAAATCTAGAAGGATTATTATTTCCTGACTTATTTTCAAATGGAAAAGGATACTATCATAATATGAATCATAATTTAAATGCAGAAATTATTTCACGTAAAGAAACTTATTCGAAATATATTAAACAACGTATACTTAATATAGATTCTCGATTTAGACTTCATCATAAATGGATGGCATGATCATATTTACAATTGGAAAAGATTCGAAATCATCAAAATAATCAATGAATTTTAAGACAAAATCAAGCTGATAAGGTTCATCGACCTCCAACTGCAGCACAAATTATTCAAAAATCAAGCTATTCTAATAGACAAATAATAGATGAATCTATAACAATTACATTGCCAACATTTATTCGTACTAGTGATACTTACTTTTATGAAAAAGAACTTCATATAAATATAATGATTTCTTCATATGGGTTACCATCTTTATTTATTATACTTACGATGGCAGAAAATCATTAAATACATTTACATTGAATTTTAAAAGTAATAGAAAATCATAATACTATACCAACAAATAGACCTTTACATAGTACATTACATTTTATTCATCGTTTACAATAACTTAAAAAACACATTTGAAAAAAACCTGAGCATTCAAAGTGGTTTGAAATTAAACATTTTTTTGAAAGAGTAGAATTTTAAAATCGTAGTGCAGCACATACACATGATATATATTGAACTACAAAAACTATTGAACAAATGATTGCTGAGAATCTTATAAGATCTGATTTACCAGATTCCATTACTGAACTAGATTTATATGCAAAAGTAATGACAAACCAAATTCATATATGTAATCTAAAATGTAGAGGTTCAGCAATTATAGGACAAGTTTGCAAAAAGAAATTTCCTCGTCCTTTTTCTTCAATTATATACTATGATAATAATGCATAATATTATGTATATAGATGTATAAAACCTGAGGATCAATGGGTAGTTTCTTATCATCCTGAAACTTTAATAATTTGGAATGCTCATATGAATATACAATAAGTCAGTTTTCGTAAGTTAGCTTTTTATTTAACAAAATATTTAGCTAAAGCGGAACCTTCTCATGTTTTTAATATAAAGAAGATGATAAATTTAAAGAACATGTAATAGCTCGAAGATTAGTTTCAATGGAATTATTGTTCTTAATATTAGGTGAAACTATTTGCAATTCATCTTCTTCAGTAAAGTATCTTACTACAGATCCTCCTACAAGTAGACAAAAAGCTATTCGTCTTATTTATTTGATTAATGAAGAAAAAGAAGATTCCTATTGGAAAAATCATATTGAGAAATATTTTGATCAACCTGATCATGAAGAATTTAACAATATAACTTATCCAGAATATTTTAAAAATTATGAAGTAAATATGATTCATCCATCAATGAGAAAACAATATATTTATACTGATCGATTAGGTAATTATGTAATAAAAAGAATTATTTCAAAATTAGTTAGATTTCGTTATTTAAAATTGCAAGATGGAGAATTATATTTTTATCAAAAACTTTTACTTGAAATTCCTTGTTGATGTGAAGAAGAAATACTTGGAAACATTCAAACTTATCAAGAATATTGATTGCATTATCATCCAGAATTATATGAAAGAATATAACAAGTAACTCAAGAATATTTACGATCTTAACAATTAAAATTAAACGTTACATTCAATCAAGTATTAGATACATTGATAAATAATTTACAAAATATCCTTCCAATTTCTATATTAAAAATTGTTGATATTTAATGGAAATCTTTGAGAATTAACCCACCAATTTATACTCAATATAATGTATTGAATCTTTCAAAAGATCAATTAAATACGATTTAAATTTCGTAATATTTTAGGATCAAGAATACAAAAAAATAAATATCCTTATTTTTTTATTGATTCAGCTGGAACAGGAAAATCATTTATAATTAATTTAATTATAAAAGATTTACGAAAAAGAAATCAAGTTACTTATTATTAGCTCCAACTGGAGTAGCAGCTCAGAATATTGGAGAAGAAACCATACATTCTGCATTAAGAATTCAGTAAACTCTTGGCAAATTCCAATCCTTGGCTTTTTATGATATTAAATTTTTTAAAACTTTAAAAAAAATCGATACTTTAATATTTGATGAAACTTTTGATTATTCAGCAACAAACAATAGCATTTGGTGTAAAAATATAATTGTTGTAGGTGATTTAGCATAATTACCTCCAGTTTCTGGATTACTAATATATAAATGTTCAAAATGGAAATTATTTATTTCTTTATTTTTAAGACAACCACAAAGACAAATTCAAGATTTACAATACTATAATGCATTACAAGAAATTAGATTAAATGAAATGTCTTTAATTACATAAAACCTTTTATATCAAAAAGCTAGAAGTTTTGATCACTAACAACCGCTTGATGTTATTTTTAATACTACAAATATTATTGAATATAAACAAATTGCTGATCAAATTAATCGTCTTATTTATAATATGCTTCCAATAAACGAAAACTTATTTTTGATTAACACAGCCATTGATTTCATTAATATGTAACAATATGATCCTGATAATTCACAAAAATTATTTAAAAAGAAGACTAATCTACCAAGTCATTTACGTTTACAATAAGGTAAACGTGTAATGTATCTTAAAAATGATTTAATTCTACAAAATATTTGTAATGGGACTATTGGAATTGTAATTGATATTGATTTGAAAGCTTTAAAAGTAAGGATAGCATTTAGTGTAATGGGTGGAATTGTTGATATTAGAATAAAAAGAAAAACTATATCATTTATGATTGATGGAAAACCATCAAGCAGATGCCAATTTCCATTACAAAATACTTTTGTACTTACAGTGCATAGAACACAAGAATTAACTTTACCAGAAGTATCTTTATGCCTTAATAATCAAATATTTTCTGCTGGACAAGCTAATGTGGCATTGGGTCAATGTTTAGATTGGTCTACAGTGCACATCGCTTCCCTGCATCCTTCAGCTTTCATTACAGACAATTTGATGATTGAAGAATATAAACGCTTAGAGTTAAAGGCTGCTATAGCTTTGCTTCTATAAATATGCTAATTTTAAAATTTTTCAATATTAATTTATATAGATTATAATATAGCTAATTAATACATTCTTTTATATAAAGACAACAATTTATATATGTATTTCAAGTAATTATTTATTCTTTTCATTTTATTAGTATATGATTCTTATAAATTGCACTGTAATTAATGGGGTAGGTTGATAAGTTGCATGGAGACAAAGTCCCCTCTATCCGCAATTTCTAGTTTATTTTTTATAGATGCAAAAAAATTACAATGAATGGATGTCTGAATCTTTAAGGGAATTAACACCTGCTGGTAGAATAAAAAAGCCATCCTATGAAACTGTTGTAAATTGGGTTAATAGATCATGGAATGCGATTAATATTGGTTTGATCTAAAGATCTTTTTTAAATGCTGTGGCATTTCTAACAAACATGATAGAATAGAAGATGATTGGATTTTTAATTATGAACGTCTTGGGCAAGCAAAATCAGGTGATGAAATAGAAATTTTAAATGATAATAATGAAAATAATAGAAACGATGATATTGAAAATAATCATTATGATGAAAATGAGAGAAATTATGATAATGAATGGAATTAAATGTAATCATGTAAACAATTTTCATAATAAATATAATAAAATAGCATTTAATATTGTATAAAATATAATTGATTAATGTGAATTTATTTTTTAATCTTGATCAATTTAATTGGTTGATTTATTAGTACCCCGAAACTAATCAAATTTTATATTTTGTGATTGAATAGTATCCGTTACTATTCAAGGGGGATATTTTGCAAAGGGTATACTAGACTAGTGTTAGCATTATACGGTATATTTAGAATTGTTCAATTTATCGTTGATTATTTTATAACACATTTATAATACATTTATAACACATCGCAAAGTGATAAAAACTAATTTTATTTGCTAATTTTTGATTTTTATTACAGGTTTATTACGATTAATTTTATAATTCTCTAATATTTCAAAACTAAGTGATTACAAAGCACTGGCGATCTTTGAGTATAGAGAAAGCCAGTACGGTACAGTTTAGCTGATCAGTACGGTATGATTATGCTGATTGATACGATCCTTCAAATTATGATCATACTGTACCAGTACTATAATATTAATAAAACCAGTATGATACGATCATAATATTAGATGATTGTACTGTACTGTATCATACTAGTCTTATAATAGATGTAGTTATATATAAGACCAGTACAGTACGATATAATACGATCTTCCAAAATTATGATTGTATCATATCATACCAGTTCTATAATATTTATTATAATACCAGTACGGTATGATTTTGCAAATCAGAATGATGATCATCAAAGCGTACTGTACTGGAATCCTACTATAAAAAATAACTTTCTTTAATAATAAAAAATAAAATTGGAAATCTAATCTAGTGATCAACAACCAATTGATAAATTCTAAAAAAAAAAAAAAAAAAAAATCTTTTAAATTTTAATACTATCACAAATAAAACTTTTTACTAATATTGCAAATGTCTAAATATATGTTTAATTCTAATTCTGATTTTGAAGAATTTTTTTATTTGACAGTATGTATATATCAATTTTGTCAATTAAAATAAAAATAAAAATATTAAAATAAAAAAAATTTTTTTTAAATAAAAAGCGAATCGCGTTGTGTATATACAATATAATATAAATAATTATTTATAAATTTAATTTATCATTTTTTTAATAAATAAATATTTATAGGAGGGTTTTAGTAATAATCTAAATTTAGAA